GTATATTTATACACACACAGACACCGACACACTCACACACACACACACACACACATATATATGTAAATATAAAAAATATCATATATGTATACATACATATATATGTATATACATGTATGTATATACACACACACGCACACACACACACATATATATATAAATATATATATATATATACATACATATATGCATATATATATATATATATATATACATGTATACACATATTACATAAATACATATACGCCTTAAAAGGTAGTATCTGCACATGTATTTGCTCCTAAGCAGTTTAAGCGGCTGTGCTGTAGTTGTCGCCGATACAGCTGTGTGTATCCTGCTGTGAGATGTACACAGTATATACGCTTCTCATACTTGTAAACATTGAATCCACTGAGTGCTTGTGCACATACCTTTCACGTTGTAATAGCACTCGAATATGCGATTGTGATGATTTCGGGTGGTGTCTTGATTAGCAATTATGTGTTGTAGGCGAACAGTGACATTCGCATATTCGCCTACTCCTGTGTGATACTCTTCGCCTGGATAGCCTCGACGCGTGTTCGCATCTAATCATTCCTGGCTGAGTCAGATTGCAAATAGTCTTATATCTCATTTTCCACAGTCGAAATTTGTTCGTGGCAGCATATTTGGTACCCAAGTAGGTTGCCCAAAAAAGTATCACAACTTTGTTCTGCGATATACTATTTCTTGTATAACCTACTACTGCTCGAGTGTGATTTACATTAGAACAATCGTCGTGGCGAAATGCACAAAGCTAATAGAAGCTAATAATTTCTCGCACACAGACAATGGAAATACAGGGATCTGCTATGAGGTATGGTGTGATTCAACGTTAATCTGAACAAGACTTCGCAAATCCTCTGGGCCAAAGTTCATTTTCTGCATTGGCCGTGAGATTAGACTGGACCCAGTATTCTCTCAGGATTCAAATTTGGCTCATTTTAACTCGCACTTACAACCTAAGCGCCACACTTAAAATCATTTTACTTTTTGGTAATTCGTGTTCAGACCGGATTCGCAGGAGATTTGGAGTGCGCTCCCCGAGTGCTTGCGAGTATGATTGCCATTCTACTGAACAAACTAGGCTTAGGTATGATACAGCTGTCCCCGTCAATATACAACAATTCATTAACATGAGTCCTACGTACGTTTTTCGAGTGTGGTTGCGATAATACGTCTTGTCATGACTGTCATTCTAGTTCGCAAGCTTGGCTTAGGTAGGTTGCGGGTCTACGTGACATTGTGCCGATACTTTAGTTCTAGGTACCTTTTGCGAGTATGACTACAATATTGCTGAGCAAGCAAGACTTATTAGGCATGTCGCGCCAGGATGAATAACAGTTGGCTGAATAAGTTTTAGCCCAGGTAAGTTAGCGCGAGTCTACATTCCTATCACATGGAGGATAAAATCTGACACATGCCTCCATTTTCTATGTTGAAATGGCATCCAGAGATAGGCCTTTATGTTTACCGGGAAAGAAAGGGACAAGTTTAAATTCGCACGGTGTTGCTGTGCACGCTACTTATGCGCGGCCTATATAGAATGTGTCGCCAGAAAGCCACACCATATTGCATAATATTCGCGCACACCTTGTTATTGCAGAAATAGAATGCGAGGAAGCGGCGGCTGTACAAAAACCAGCCACTAAGCCTGTCCGAGACGTCTATGAGATGACATCAGTGTTCACCTTGGGCGAAGAAGGATTCCGATGGAACAGCCCATACGGCTCGCACAACTTTCAAAAGGTATTCAACTGCTCGTGCGATTAATATTACTATCCTATATATATATATTGAAATATGTAGTATTTATGTATAATACGGAAATTCTAGACCGGAAAGCTCCCCGAGATCGTTGTCGCGCTGACAGTATATACTCATGATCAAATAAAATCGTCATGACAATGTCGAGACCATCTGAGGTACACAGAATCATGCATGCATCTAAGGTTTACAAGTTCAGTAATATTCAAAATCAATTTTGAAGAATCAATGCCCAATTCTACAAATGGCTCAAACATACACCACAATCAACATGCAGATTCCTGGCAGTGTCCCGATTGGCTTCCACGGGGAAACACCACTGGTGGAAGCGAACGACACATATGTGATATTCCCCAAGGTGCCAGAACTGTGGTTTCTGGGAAAACCACTAGGCTGGTTGGCTAAAAAGCTCTAGACTCCTATAAATGCAGTATCGAGACTTCAATCTCCTACATGACAGTGTATCATATTTTTGGTTATATATATGCACACATGGACCAAATATTATTCACACACACACATACATGATATTTGCTAGGTCTAAACCTTGTACTTAAACTACTAGACATCGATGCGCTCGTAAAGTTCCGGGAACGTAATCTAAGAATTAGGGCGGTCAAAATATCGGCACGGATCGGAACAAACACTCGTTGGGTCACATTGTGCATACTTACAGAACGTATTCGACAAGTATACATGACTTAGAAAACAAAGGACTAGAATCATGTATACGCATGCGGGCGTGAGAATGCGTATCGCAGAAAATAGTTTCTTGTAATAAACGAATATGAGGATGATACCCGTGAAAAGATAATATGCTAAGCAACTTGCAGGTGGAAGAAGCACTCTTGTGTACATTTAAAACACAGATTGAACAACTTTAATAGGCTAATACAAGCAAACAATTCAGATCTCAAAGTGAATTCAACAGAAACACAGTGCATCCAACATAGTTCACGTGCTAAAGATGGACAGGGACATTTAATGCACCCTATTTTATTGTCTCCCAAAAAGAATCGGAATATCGCCATGAACATAGAAATTAACTATTCAGGACACTTACCGACACCAACATGAGTGTGATGAGTGCCGTAGACCATAAAATCGCTCTAGTGAAAAACGTACTCTGATAACTCAATATGCGCCCTAATGCACATTGCACCTCAAATTAATGCCAGTGTCACTACGAGATAAAACGTGGTTATAGTTAACCAACTCCGTATGCTCATATATAGATATGTATGTATATACATATATATAGATAATGTGGAGTAGGATTCATAAGCTAAACGTTTCCTAGTGTATGAAGTATGTAATCTGACAGGTTACAAAAGCCAACACATTTAAATAGTTTGTTCGCGACAACATATGAATGCATCTATGAAACGAGCCCTATAGACATACGTCAAACCAAGACTACTGCACGCTCGCACCATACAATCATATCCTCACACTCAAAGTCTTTTAGATCGGAACAGTTGCAATCGTAGGCTGGCATCCACCAAGTACGCACATCTATCTGCTCTCACGCATACGTAGGTAGATATAGAGCATGTAGGGATATATATATATATATGATACAAAATTGACTTGCTTTTGAATACATAACCGAATAAACGTGAAATATGTATGGGTATATAATTATACGAGATACATAATAATTCATTTGAGTTTTCAAGATTGACTATACTTGTATATAAATATTTATAAGGATCGCACGAATATACATTACTAGTATGTAAATGCAAACATACCCACATACATCTACATATATGTATATATATGCACACACACACATATATATACATACATATATGCAACATACGACAAATAGAAGTGAATACATGCAGGTGCATTTTCTATCTTTAACCCAGACAACAAACAAATATTGATGTACATATAGATACTTACGTATATAAACAGAAAATAAATTTTCATATAGTGGTATATATGCAAATGCGTGACATACACACGTGTAATATTAACAAACAAAACATCCGCAAACACATGCAGAAATGGAAATGCATGTATATACATTTCAAAACAATATTGATTCTGTATTGACAACAAATAGGGAACACGACTACAAGGTAGGTATTTGTGAACAATTATACCAATACATATCATACGAAAAGAACTTCTGGCCATGCAAGGTCAAAACCACTTATAATATAACGGCCAGATTAATATTAAAAAATCTCTATGCAAGCTCAAACGTGAATATAACAACCAAGTTGAATACTAAATGAACTATGTTCAAGCAAAGTCAAAACTCGTAGAATGTAACGGCCATATTGAATACCAAAAAATCTATGCAAGCTCAAGCACGTAGAATACGATCATGTTGAATACTAAAATATCTCTCTCCAAGCATGATCAAAACACGCAATAACAACCATATTGACCTCAAAGTATGAATACAATGAACAGCATACACCAATGCGCAACATACACACTGGCAATGAAAACCAAAACACCCGTGAATAAAATGTTTAACACAGGTATTTTAGTGGAGGAACTGATACTTTGCGCGTTGGTGGTCGAAAGATGCTAGCGAACACACGGCCCAATAGTATGATACATAAGAATTCTTTTGAGTCTGTACTATCACAAGTATGCAAATACATATTCACTTGCCCATTTACGTCTACATACATGCGTAGTGTTATTTATATATATATATATAATAACAAATAGAAGTGAATACATGCACGTGCATATTTTTTCTTTATCCCAGACAATAAATAAATGATGTACATATAAATACTTGCGTATGATAACATAGTTGATAAATATCCATATATTAATATGTATATGCAAATGCACACACGTGTACAGTAGCATTCAAAACCCTTACGCCCAAAAATAAACGTTCAACACACACCAGATATTTTCGCGAAGGAACTGCTCCTTTGCGCGTTGCTAGTCGAAATGAATCTGTCTACAAAGTTGTTAACTAACGCACACAATGTTGTTGAATATATGATAAACATGATGCGTACGTCAAGTATTTTCACGATGTGATCGTGATATTCCCGAAGTTTCGTGTTTTGCTTGTGGAAGGCTGAATCCATGGACCTCATAGTCTGTACTAATTATATTGGTATACAAACTAGTGATCCAAAGAACGCACGGGTACACGATATATATGATAATATACGCGCATGAGATAACCACTCAGCACTCACAGCAGTGATGGGTAGTCACTAGTGGAGTTCTACTAAATACGTTCTACACAACAACCTATGTTTCCGGTCTCTTCTAGGTATATATTCCCATTGACACATATTGATATATGTAAATAATGACATTGGCTAAAAATTCCGGAAAAGTCACTATATACCCCAGCAAAGTGGTCGCTATGCTGAATCATTGGGCGGCGGTATTGGTTAGGGGTTTATCAAAACCGGGACGGGCTTGACCCGATTCACGGTACAATATTGTGGTCCCGGTATTCTGAGCGTCCTCCAAAAGCCGGGAAAATTTCAGAATCCCATAACTTGGGTTATTTTTGGCGTCGCGAATCAGGATCAATCAATCCATGTGGTAGTGTGGTAGAGCGCTCTATTTATGAGTGTGGCTGTGACACCGAAGAACTGAGTTGATTTGCATTGGAGTTTGGGTCTTTGGGAGTGCCAAGTTTTCGCACACTAGAAGAGAGAAGACAGTCGACGCTTGACAAATATTAAATTATTATTTCTGGCCTCTCGACTTTCGTGTGCAAATTCTGGACTTTCGTGTGCAAATTCTGGACTTTCGTGTGGGAAGTTCGTGTGGGACTTTCGTGTCATCGTGTGTGTCGTGCCAAAAAGTATACAATTTTATATACACCACGCACAGAAAAAAGCAGGAAACAGTAAGCATATATAAAGAACGAGTCATGTTTCACATTCGCCATATTTTGTATCTATCGTACTTTACCACTATATATAATACATATACATCAATATGGCTGAAGCACCTAAGAAGGAGACCTTCGCCTTCCAGGCTGAGATCGCTCAGTTGATGAGTCTGATCGTCAATACTTTCTACTCAAACAAGGAGATTTTCCTGCGTGAGTTGATTTCCAATAGTTCTGATGCTTTGGACAAGATTCGTTATGAATCTCTTACAGACCCCACCAAGCTCGAGGCGGAGAAGGATCTTAAGGTTGAGATCATCCCCGATGCCGCTGCTGGTACACTTACCATTATCGATACAGGTATTGGTATGACCAAGGCTGATCTAGTAAACAACCTGGGTACCATTGCCAAGTCCGGGACCAAGGGTTTCATGGAGGCATTGACTGCTGGTGCCGACATCAGTATGATCGGACAATTCGGTGTAGGTTTCTATTCCGCATACCTGGTTGCCGACCGTGTAGTTGTGCGATCAAAGCACAATGACGACGAGGAGTACATCTGGGAGTCTACTGCTGGTGGTTCGTTCACCGTAGAGGTAGCTGAGGAGCCCCGCCTAACCCGCGGTACCGAGATGGTACTGTACCTAAAGGAGGACCAGACCGAGTTCGCTGAGGAGAAGAAGATCAAGGAGATCGTCAAGAAGCACTCCGAGTTCATTGGATACCCCATCCGCCTGCAGGTGCAGAAGGAGAAGGATGTCGATGTTGAGGAGCCTGAAGAGGAGAAGAAGGACGATGAGGACGAGACCAAGGTAGAGGAGGTCGATGAAGAGGAGGAAAAGAAGGAAAAGAAGACCGAGAAGGTCACTTACAATGAGATGGAGGAGCTTAACACTAACAAGCCCATCTGGACCCGATCCCCCGAGACTGTGACCAAGGAGGAGTACGCCAGTTTCTACAAGAGTCTAACCAACGATTGGGAGGACCACTTGGCCGTAAAGCACTTCGCTGTCGAAGGACAGTTGGAGTTCAAGGCTATTCTTTTCGTCCCCAAGCGTGCACCATTCGATATGTTCGAGAACCGAAAGAAGCCAAACAACGTAAAGTTATACGTACGCCGTGTGTTTATTATGGACAACTGCGAGGAAATCATCCCCGAGTACCTATCTTTCGTCAAGGGCGTTGTTGATTCCGAGGATCTTCCTCTTAACATTTCACGCGAGACTCTACAACAGTCCAAGATCCTTAAAGTCATTCGCAAGAACATTGTCAAGAAGGTACTTGAGATGTTGAACGAGATTGCCGAGGACAAGGACTCATACAAGACTCTATGGGAGCAGTTCGCCAAGAACATCAAGCTCGGTGTACACGAGGATTCCACCAACCGAAGCAAGCTTGCTGAGCTTCTTCGTTACTCTTCATCCAAGTCTGGTGAGGAGATGACCTCTCTAAAGGACTATGTCACACGCATGCCTGAGCATCAGAAGGATATTTTCTACATCACTGGAGAGTCTAAGGCTGTTGTGTCCACTTCTCCCTTCGTGGAGAAGGTCAAGAGAAAGGGATTGGAGGTTCTATACATGACTGACCCCATTGATGAGTACTCTGTACAGCAGTTGAAGGAGTACGAGGGTAAGAAACTCGTGTCTGTGACCAAGGAGGGACTAGATCTTGGTGAGGATGAGGAAGAGAAGAAGAAGCAGGAGGATGACAAGGCTGCTTACGAAGGTCTGTGCAAGACCATCAAAGAGGTTCTTGACGAGAAGGTTGAGAAGGTTGTTGTTTCCAACCGATTGGTAGACGCCCCATGCTGTCTGGTTACTGGTCAGTTTGGATGGTCTGCCAATATGGAGCGCATCATGAAGGCACAGGCTCTGCGTGATTCTACCATGGCGACCTACATGGCTTCTAAGAAGACTATGGAGATCAATCCCGACCACGCCATCGTCAAGGCTCTTAGGGAGAAGTGTGCGTCCGATTCCGGAGACAAGACCGTGAAGGATCTAGTGTGGCTTCTATACGAGACCGCTCTGTTGACCTCTGGTTTCAACTTGGACGAGCCCACGACTTTCGCTGACCGAATCCATCGTATGATCAAGCTTGGTCTACAGGGACTTGGTGTATCGGTTGAGGATGATGCGCCTGCTGGAGAGGCTGATGAGGATGACATGCCTGATCTTGAGGACGACCATGCTGATCAAGAGGATGCCTCAAAGATGGAGGAAGTGTAAGTTATATGTACTTGCTGTATTCTTTTGTGCTTGTATTTGTTTTCCGGTCCTGTTGGGGGGTGTTTTTGCTGTTAGTTACAGATTGTACTTGAGGGTTTAATGTATTGTAATTGCGTAATCTTTCATCTTTGTTCATTCGACTCACACTTATTTCTCTCTTTACCTACAGTGATTAAATAAGCCGCCTCTCCTTGGTGAACAGTGCAAACTCCGATTACGATTGATTACTTTAGAAAGAGATGAAAGCTCGATGTGCTTGGATTTAGCCTTGGACGTCTGGTACGCCTTCAGAATATATAAGCAGAACGATGCCCCGAAGAACCTATTAAGATATATGCTAATCTAAATGTAGGCAAAGTGGTACCTGTTTATGGCAACTTGTATAAAGAGCCTGAAAGAAGGTGCTTTACTTCGGTCTACATTGTCATGTACCGTTTAGAGAACACCGATGTAATAAAAACACAGAATAGTATAATATACATTGTCTCGAATGTATGAACGTATTCGTGGCGTTGAATGTCATAGTTGTTGTGCCGAGTATTTTCATACCGACTTTCAAATGCGTTACTTCTGTACTAGTGCACTATATATATATATATATATATATCGCGATAGAAATATATATCTAGTTACTTATAGAGTATTTCATCCGTGATATTTTGCTTACTAGTTCATGTGTGGACACGAATCGGTGAGTGCATGAGTGCTTAGTCATAGATTTGTTGCGATTGCTAGTTTGGCCGGTAGGGTATTCTCAGTTGTAACCTCTGTAAATATCGATGTTACATTGTAATCTCAGTAATATCGATGTTACATTGTAATCTCAGTAATATTGATGTTGCATTGTAATCTCAGTAAATATCGATGTTGCCTTGTATTCTCAGTAAATATCGATGTCGCATTGTATGTTGGTGCACGAATATTATATCCGCAACATTGCTTACTACTTCATATGTTTACACGAATAGCAAGTGTTTAGCTTGAAGTTAGCGCAAAAGCTGTTTTGTTCAGCAGTTAATCTCGGTAAATATCGATGTTGCGTTGTAGTGTGTTCTTTTTACTTTGTAGTATGATGTTTAGATATATTTATATCGAAAACTATTCAGGGCCGTCGCGAAAACAACACACTCTGTTTTGGGTTAGACGCTCGAGTACTTAACGCATCCGCTGTACTGAAAGCGATGCTGCAAGTATACACCAACTTTTCGATACGAAACGTCTTATCGTACGTTCAAACGAAGAAGAAACAAGTGACAGTTGTTTACATTTGTTCTTTATTGGCACTTTTGCTAGCGTGTGCAAAATATCAGCGCACGCTTTTTTACAGTTCATAGAGTGTTCAGACTCTTCATGTATCTCCGTTGGACATGTCGCGGACTTTCATACTTACAAAGTACTTCAGACTCTCGGGACAATGATGACTCTACTGCATTGCTTATGTTTGCACGGCGTACAGCACCATCTGTCACACAGAAGAATCCGAAATGCAGTTTCGGTTGTAGTAGAGAAGCCAAATCAATTTACCTTTCTATTGAATGTTGCGCAAGTCCAACCGTCTATGTCTGTTTTTGAACCTATTTTTTAGCCTGAAACAAGCTTTACATATAGTGCATTGTATCTTTCGTCTTATTTTGGTATTGTCACAGTGTTTCTATTTGTGTGTGACAGTTCATAGTCAATATGAAGTCCTTTATACACACCACACCCTGCTCATGCTGCTTACTTTGCACAATTCGCTTTAAGCAAGCGTGGACTTGGCCTCTGCACTGAAGGAAACTTGTCCTGCGAGATCACAGATCTCGTCTTTAGCATCTCTCAAGTTGAGTACACTTGAGGTCTTCTCGAGGTTGACTTTGGAAAAACCACCACAGTGTTCGTATGCTTCCACATACCCATCGTCCTCATCGTCGTCACTCGCAATGCCCTCGTCATCATCACTCTCCACGTCCTCGGATGTGTACAGTCCCTCTGTCTCATGCAAGAAGTCATTGTTGACACCGTGGAACTCCTCCTCCTCCTCATCCGAGTCACTCTCAAACTGGAATTGAGTCGCATCATCACACGCACTACTGCTCATACCAGTCTGGTTGATCATATTGGACAGATTTTCGGATGAATCGGTGAATGCCGAATCCACACTATTAGATCGACTTAGTGCTTGCTCGGCCTGTCTGCGTTTCTCCAGGGCAAGAGAGTATTCGCGATACTTCTTTCCAGTCTCCATGGCTGTGTCTTTGAGAAGTGAGAAGCGACGCAACGAGAGGTTTTTACTGGCACCTTCAATCTGCATCTTATTGATGGTGATTTTGTAGATCACGGAACACTCTTTCAGTTTGCGCAGACACTCCTGGCCGTCTGCGGCATAGCTCTGACTATCGTAGAGTGACATTTTGTGTTGAAGCGAATAGGCGTGTATTAGGGTCAAAGGATTTCGGTATAATGGAGTTCTAGTACACGTTATCCGATTGTAGCTATGCTATACTTACAACACTTACAATGTCCACTACTAGTGCAGAAGTGTCTTATCAGCGGATATCATCGACTAGATTTATAGTCAAGCAATCTTTTCCTTCTACTTGGTAAAGCTAATAGAGATGTAGGAATGAAGTAAAAGCGGGTCGTGGAATATCCCGTCTCCCCAGACGACTACAAATCTATATATAAAACCTTATCAATACTAAATCGGTCCTGTCTTTGTTCTTGGTCCACATTCCTAAAGACAGCGGAGCGCATTCCACTGGTGGAAGGACACCGATGCTGTAGCTACTACTACAGAAGGAAGTAATTAGGGATAAGGGTAGTACCTACAGCTGAGTATACCATACATGTTATATACATAATAGCGACATATTTTACACCGTTTAGCCTAAAATTGCTGGTCACTCCGGACTCCGGAGACTGCAGGACCATTCTCTCGTCGCTGTATAAAACCGTAACCTGGATCAATAAGCTCAATACCCAATCGCTCAATCGCATGACGTGTAATTAAATCTTGTGACCGATACTCACTAATCACTAATAATGGTCTAATAGTATCGCTTTGTAGAGTTTATAATGTATGTTGTAAAAATGTGCTTTGTAATAGATTACTCAATTATCTGCTATTCATAGAAGCCTCTAGGAAACCTCCTAGCGACTCCGTTACCCAGTAGGTCGGAAATGATGACCAATCACAAGCCACTATTACTTGAAATTTTACAGTCTATTTATAAATACGAATAAATACTCGATATATAAATTCAGTTCCATTACATGAACATTGAACCATCTGCTGTCGACTGCCGATTCAGCCGCAACTCGCGAGTGAGTGCCGAGTTGCCGACTATCTGCGCTTCCAACAAATGTATTCAATCCTCATATTCGTAGTGACTTTTCTCTACTACTAGAGAGAGAGAGCAGATTAGCAGAAGTTTAAAAAAAATGGTTCTCTTTCTACTACGAAATTCGATAGAAGACGAAACAGCCCTCTTTTTTTAAAATGCTTCGTTCATTGGTAATAAAACCCTGGGAGGCATGCACTCCAGCCAGAGAGCGAGATTTTATACACGGGGCATACATCCCATTCAAGGGGTTTATTGTGATCACTAACGAGCTAGGTTTGTAATTCCAATTTCATAGCACAGATATCTCCTTGTCGAACCCAAGATAAGTGGCAGAGTGCCATAGTCCACGTTTTCTCTGATTGACAATGAGATGCCGTAAGTTTCTATCAACGTCCACAGGAGAACTGTACGTGGAACTGCTTTCGCTGAAAGCAGCCATATTCTTAGCCGTACATTTCATGTTATATAACGGCTGTATAAGAGGAGAACAATGGTGCTAACAGCTTCCACCCATGGGTAACGATCTCTAATGGGACTAAAGGTCAAGCAGAAGTACACATAGATTATCCACACCCATCGTCCATAATAACCTCTGTTACATAGTGCGTGGTTGATACAATTTTTCAAATCTGCTCGTTCGACTAAGCCTGCTCATTAGACTACGCAGAGGCACTATGCTACAGTATGCTAACCATCAATGTGGCACGAATTAGAAGGTAGTTGAGGGGGGGTTGTGCCAGCATTCCTAGAATTGCCGCACGCTTCCTAGGAGTATGTTTAAACAACCACTCAACGAGCTCCAATTCTCTATTCGTCGTAGATCCAGATCAGAACATCATCGCCGAACTGGCCATAGGTACGTACAAACAGCATAAATACATAAGACACGCCGATACCCCTGCACTCTAGAATTCGCCGCACAAGTCCCCACCCCAAAGTGTCCTCGACGAAGTATTCATCTTTAGACTCAGTCCGAATGCACATGCTACGCTTGTTGAATGCCTCAGGTGGCGCATAATTGGTGCCACGAATCCCTAGCACAGACACGCCACAGTGTTAACTCGTAATTAGTCGGCATAGACAGATGCTCATCCTTTGAATTGCTGTCGCTTGCCACGTGACTTTACTCTCTTGCCGCGCTTTCGCACAGCTTCAGGCAACAAGCTATCCCTGATGGTAAGCCCAGTTCCATTCGGTACAGATACACCAACCGTTGCAGGCGAGTCCGGACCGGTAGTGACACTCACCCACCCGATACCTGACATGACGATGTCTTTCGCACTACAAATGTGGTAGGAACAAATGCATTTAGATACATGGATATATTTCTGACAGAAGGTAGACGACTTATACTGATAAATGCATACAAGCACGCTTATTTTAACGACCGATCGCTTAGTGACGAATGATAGGTTACCATTCGTATCGTCAATACGAGACATACATATGTTGCACAGCGCTGTAAGTGCGACCTAGAAGGTATCGCTATATCGTTCTGCAAGGTAACGAAAGCAGCACACAATATATTCAAATCGACACATTCAGCTACAGAACTATATTATGCGAACCTACCAGGTATCCCAATCCAATCCTTCAATCCTAAACTTCTGTCTGGACAGTTTTGGGAACGATTCCATTCGCTCAGTTCCCCCAGAGGGTATATTGAGAATATTTGTGCCAGGGTTGCCAGCATGCTTAGCGTAGACTTCATCAGCACGGACACTATCTGTTGCATGAATATTTATCTTCAAAATGTACGGTTGGGAAGAGGCAAAGAGAGAAACACACTTATGAGTGCTCATTGATAAGCAAAATGTACTATATTGAGAACCCCCCCCCCCCCCCACACACACAATCGGGGAGTAACGACAAATACACATGGCACCAATTGATCCAACTCCCCCCCTTCCTCCTCAAAAATAAAGAAAGAAATAGAAAATGAACCAAATAAACCAAACAAACTTTGACCTTGCACACCTCTCGGCTGGCAAAGACCGTCAAGTATGCGGTCCTGGGGGCCTTGCTGCTGGCAAGTAATGCCGGCTGAAGCAGTTCAATCTTAGCAAGCCCTCCCACGAACAAGCACTGTCCAGTCTTGAGCAGAAAGGTACGGGGAGCCAATGCAGATTGCCCATTCACTTTCTTGATTTCGTCATAAGTCAGGTTATGGATTAACTGGAAGAGAGAGAGAGAGAGACGATGGGTAGAGAGAAAAGAGGACGGATCAAAAACGTGCTTGGCTGTCAGCAGTGAAGAGCGTAGTAGGTACGTCAACCATAGTCAGTCTCGAGCATTAATTCCGCGTACGTGTACGGCGGGTCAAAAATTTGCGATAAGCCTCCGACGACGAAAATCTGCACATAGCTGAGAAGGGCAAATAGATCGCAGTACACAACAAGGATGTGACAGTTGTTACCCATGGGGTGCACCATAGGAACACAACAATATTACTGATGTAGTTATCAGAAGAAGAGTTCCAACCCACCTGATCTGTTTTGAAGATACCAGGGGTATCGAATATCATAGCTTTGGCCGTTTTCTTCTCCCCCTGACGCTTCGCATCCCTGTCTCGCTTGTTCTCTATGCCTTTGTCACCCTTTTTCACCTTGGGGGGTACATATGGGATACCAATTAAGCTGATCGTGGTGCCCGGCAGATTGGAGACCTGTGTCAACGTCAAGTTAGGAAAGCAGAGTCATCATCTATTGAGTACAAGTCATATCCATGAAAACAACCGTATAAATATAAGTGTAAAAGCATATAAAAATATGTAAAAGCATATAAATGTAAGTGTAAAAGCATATAAATGTAAGTGTAAAAGCATATAAATATAAGTGTAAAACCATATAAATGTAAGTGTAAAACCATATAAATGTAAGTGTAAAACCATATAAATGTAAGTGTAAAACCATATAGGTATATACCTACATAAGGAGATACACAAATAAATCGAGATGGTATTTGCACGCATAGATCGAAAGGGCGGGTTCTGAACAAATACGTTTTTGGATATAGAGCACTAAACAAGCATAAGAACTTTGGACCACGCACACACGCACACACACATATTTATACATACATTAATAATACATACTTATATACACACATGAATACATATATACATAAATACACGCACACACACACACACACACACACACACACTATATATA